GATAGAGTGAAGCCGCGGAAGTCGAAGCGCGAAGTGGCGAGGGTTCTCTGTACATGTTATGGAATTCTCATTATTCACAATGGCAAACGATTGGGCAGCTCATTGTACTTTTGTTCGCAGGGTTGCTGTGAGATGGAATTGACTTGATGGCATCTAACAACCACAGCATTTCCACATTTGGGTGCTTTATAACTCATGGAGTCTTTGCAAATACTTGTAAGCAAGTTAACACATGCAATCTACTACCCGTAAGTTTGCCATTCTGTGGTGAATTGAATTTTGATACTCTATTGAAAGCCATCTCACTGATATTTTAAGTACCACAAGATCATCTGTGGTGGACAGGTTTCAGTAGAGCTTCCAGACTAAGACCATCTAGAAATAAAGGCCAGCTAACCTATTTTTTTTAAATTAAGCAATACAACCACCATAGATTACAATGAAACAATGTTCAATCTAGTGCTGGATGACGAGCCCCCTAGGCTGGAAGGCACTCAGTTTCAGTGGCTGCAAAATGAAGGTGGTTCAGGACCAGTAACTATTTATCTGTTATTGTTTTCTGTCGGATTAGGGTTGCCATGAGTTGGAATTGATTCAATAACAACTAACAACCACAAAAAAGACACTACAAGAACTTCCTTCATATCATCAGGTATCATCTATATTCTTTTGGAATTTCTCTAGAGGCCAAGGTGGTGGTGCAGATTAAGCACTTGGCAGCTAACAAGAAAGTTGGCAATTCAAACCTACCAGAAGCTCTGTGGAAGAAATGACCTGGAAATCTGTTCCTGTAAGGATTACAGCCTAGGAAAGCCTATGGGGCAGTTCAAATTTGTCACATGGGGTCAATACGTGTCAGAATTGACCCAAGAGCATATAACAACAACAGCAGATATATGGAAGATGTAGAGTAAGAAAGGTAAGAATAATCCAGATATATCAGTTTGTGTTAAAAAAAATCTGGTCATTGTCTTCTTTCTAGTTAAATGTACTAATAATATTAAGAGCTATGAATGTTTTAACTTTAACTAATCACTAACAGAGGTAAAATGATGGGTTGCCCTTCTTAGAAATGGGAACTGACTTTTCAATAAATAATAATAAGATACAACCAGTAGTTTTTGTATTAGTCTGGGTACTTTAGAGAAACAAATTCACAGAAACTCATGTATAAGAGAGAGTTTTATATAACGGTTAAGTGTGCATCAAGAAAACATCCCAACTCTGTGCTGCCCAAGCCCACAAGTCCAACATTAACCCATTAACCCACATGTCCAACACCAATCCACAAAATCCTCCTCCATCTCACAAAACACATGCAATGATGCAGACTGCAGCAGGAAAGCTGAGTCAGTGACGTGCAAGAAGCTCAGTGCTGGCAGGGGTCACCACATGGCTCCTTCAGCACCCAGGGCTGCATCAGGGTAGGTCCATGTGGCTGCTCCATAGGGATGTCTTTCAAGAAGTGAACCTTGCAAGCTAAAGCAGGGAACTGGCTAAGGCAGCTGCACCCTGGTCTGACCATCAGAAAGCAAGAGACACAAGAACTAGAAAGGTGAGGCTCACT